ACAGCCCTGAAAACAGGCATTCCCCATTCCTTCCCAACACCTGCTGCCTGGCACCCTGCATGGTGCCGTATAGTAAATGCCAGTTTCTCCACCTTCAACAATTTTGCAAACTCAGTTCCCAAGGGAGACAAAATACATTCTGCTAAGAATCCAAATGACCCAGTTCATCATAGCATGATGGAGTCGTCTGTGAAGACCACGGTCAGCTTCATCCAACCTCAACAGCAGCAGACACAATTGGTCTTCGGACTTTGTGGAGCAACTGTTGGTATTCTCGGAAGACTGCTAGGCACACTGCAGCTGTGCCAGGCATCATCCTAACTCTTTGAGGGGTGGTCTTCCTCGTGTTTTGTAAATGGGAAATCTCAGTTAATGAAAACCATCAGATAACTAAGCAAACCCTCACGAGAACTGGATGGCTGTACACTTAAGCCTTCTACACTGAGTTTCTTTGTGAACTATATCCCTGCACCCCCCCCCCACCCTCACACCCCAGCGTTCAACACCTTTTCAGTAGGCAGCTGGTTATCTGGTGTCTCAAGCAGTGCCTCGCTGTGGGCATCCCTTCTGCCATTCTCAGGTGTGGTCAAGGCACCCCTAGGAAAAAAAATCACAAGTGCATAATAAAATAGAGTAGGGGAATACGGAACCTTAAAAAGCATGAACCATATTTAATGTCGTTTGATTGTACAAAAGGCTTCTTCTAGCTTTGTTCTGAAGCACAGCTCCTTTTACAAGGTACCAACCTCTCCTTCAGCGTGCCTGCCTGGGAGGACTGCAGGGTCATATGAACCTCGGAAGCACATTTCAGAAGTCTCTCTATCTTTTGTTTGTAATCTCCGAGTGCTCTCTTCAATTCCTGTTGACTCTCTGGTGAAGTCAGCTCTTCACATAGCACCCTCAAGACACCCACAGGGTGTTCTAGCTGGCATGCAACACTATCCGGAGAGAAGCAAGCCTACGGGAGGGAAGAAGGCATGATTTGAGCTTCAACAAAGGACACGAGATCAGAAACTCCAGGTGTGTCTGTGACTGCCTGCATGCTCTTTTATGGACCGTCTGCCATGAGTTAGGTATGGTAACAGGTACTAGGGAAAAGTGATAATGGGAGCCAACCCTAAAGGAGTCCCAGTTCAATAACCAACATGCAGACGATGATGTTAGGAGCACACTACCACTGGCCTGCTTCACAGAGGGAGCCATCCGAGTTGGATGCAGAAGGAACGCAGAGCGTTGAGGGTGAATGGAGGACTGGTTTAGATTCTCTGCCCGTGAATACAGTCAAACATCCTGACAAAAGCAAGTTAAGGATGAGATGTTCAGTTTATCTCAAGGTTCCTAGCACAGCCCGGCACAGCAGGAAGTCAGGAAGGAGTTTCTAGTCCTATATATCAGCCAGTCAAGATGGCCCCCATGGGCATGCCCAGAAACCCATCTCCTAGGGAACTCAGACACAAACCTGTCACAGAGATGTCATCTCCACCAGTGATGGAAGATGGCAGGTGGTAAACATTCTGAGAGCACGGGTCCCCTGCTGCTGTTGGAGTGCTCAGCCTAAGCTGAGACGCTGAAGGGATGTCCTGGAGCCTTCTAAAGAGATGGGGCTGTCTTTGGAGAGGGGAGAGAGCTACCACCAGGACCCAGGAAATTGGGATCTGGGTTTTGAAAGGCTAGTTCTGGGGCTGGGGCTATTGCTGCATTAGTAGAATTCCTGTCTTCAGTGTGTGATGCCTTGGATTTCAATCCCCAGCCCTGTCCCCAACCCCACAGTGAATTGTTGTGGTGAAAGATGATGAAGCCATTTTCTTCCTAATAAAACAAGGGAGGTGAGGCATGAAGAATGGAGGAAGTGGCTGGACTAATGGAACCAAGCGGCTCGGTCACTGAGCCTACAGTGGCGGGTGGAGCAGGAGCAGATGAAGACCGCTGAGACAGCAAAGCCGTTTGCAACCAAAATGCGAGGAGAGGAGGAAGCAAAGGGTGAGAGGTGAGGCTACTGGTTCCATTCTAGACACATGAGCCTGATGTCCCTGAGGAACATTAGTGATAGCCACCAGTCAGGGGTAGACTTCAGAGACCAGAGAAACTCTGCTGGAGAGAAACGCAGGCTCGATCAGAAACAGATGAATAAACAATCTGAAGGGTATAAAGTGGCAACTAAGGATGGATGGAAGTGAGAAATGTAGGCTATCCTGTCCAAACACTAAAACATTTAGGAAAAGAGAAGAAGATGGGGAAATTTGTGAAGGATAATAAAACTGCAGCTCTATTTACAGCCTGTGTATGTGTGTATTTATGTATGTGTGTGTGTGTGTGTGTGTGTGTGTGTGTGTGTATATATATATATATATATATATATATATATATATATATATATATATTGCATCTAGGTATCTCTATGTCTGTGCAAGAAAGGGTAACATTGTGAAAGTCACAGAAGTTGGCAGTTAAAAAGAAAAGAGGCCTCAGAGCTATGGACCACACAAATCCCATCAAAGAGTCAGGGGACCGAAAAGAGGAGGTCCTCAGCTTGGCCCCCAAGATCCTGTACGACTTGATTGCTCATTTTCACAAAGCTCTACTTTTGAGGACCCTGTCTCCTGACAAAAACAAAAACAGACAAACAAACAAAAACATCCGTACTACAGCAATAGCTGAGACAGTTAGGACCAGTCTCTGGAGCAGGAGGTCCCCAGCCATCACAAGAGAAACAGGAAGCAAGAACGGTGGCTGAGATTTCTCAGGTCAGGTGGGGAGAAAGCACAGGGTCCGGTGAGATCCCAGACCATGTAAGTGTCGCGTCCACGGGAACGAGCAGGCTAACATGATCTCCACAGCACGGCCAGTCCTAGGCCATGAACTTACACCGTGGTTACCCAGTGAACAGGAAGGCTAACAGCGGTGGGAGTGGGGTGGCTTTACCTCGTGCTCCTTGGCGAGGCCCCTGGTCTTCCCTCGGCGGAGAAGCTTCTTCTCTTTATTTATTTGCTTTTCAAGTTTTGCAATATTGTCTCTCAGCTTTCCTTCTTCAATATCTATTTTTAGTTGTTGAATATACACAGCAATTTCGTGATGGAGAGGCTGCAAACAACAGAGGGGTGTATTAATCATGAGGAGACAACAGGCTGAACTCCTTTCTACTCACAACAAAATGGCCTACAGGAACAAAAGGAAGGCAGAGAAGCATGCATGGTGTGTTCATTCAACCTCATAACCCTCAGAAGAATGTTGAAAAACATTCCAGATACATAAGCCTATTTTGTTTCTATCAACAAAAAAAAAAAGTGTTTTAAACTGTGAAAGATGCTGTTGAGAAAATAAAGGGCAAGCTACAGACCGAGGGATACACTCAGAAGGCGCATCTGTGTCCAAGGAGATCTACAACAGATGGACGTGTCCTGGATGGGGCTCTGGAGCAGACACCAAGCATGGCAAGGGAGGGCATGAATCTGAGGAAGCACAGGCTTTAGCGACTGTGCCACCTCCGTACTGGCTCACTCTCGGGGACAATTCCTGCCCTAGAACTCTCTCAACTACCTCTGCCACAATTCTCTAAAACGAAACTGCTCTAAACCAAAAGCCCATTTATAAAACGCCTATATGGCGGGCATGCACCTTTAATCCCAGCACTCCAGAGGCAGCGGCAGGCAGAAAGCTCTGTGAGTTCCAGGTCAGCCTGGTCTACACATGAATTCTAGGCCAGCCAAGGCTACAGATGAGACCCTGTCTAAAAAAACAAATCAAAAATAAAATTTCAAGAAAACCATTGATAGATTTCAATTCAATTACATGGACATCTTTGATCCAGAACCCATTCCCCACTGGGGAGCGGAAAAACCGAGAATGCTCAAGTCCCTTACGGAGATTGGCATAGCATTTACCTGTTACCTCACACCCTGTCATACGCTGCAGGTCATCTCTAGATGACATATAACATTTAATATAATGTAAATGCTCTGTAAACAGCTGTGTGCTCTACTGTTTAGTGAATCATGGATGGGGAAAGGGCTGGACACCCTCAGAATGGACACAAGTCTTTTTTCAAGTGTCTTTGACCCACGGTTGGTTGAATACATGCACACAGAACCCAAAGATATGGAGAGCTGACTATACTGATTAGATACAAACATCTATTAGCAATGATCATTTATTGAATATACCATCTATGACTTATTTGCAAATCTTCGTAACAATCCTGCCAATTAAATTGTACTATTCCCATTTTGCCAGCAAGGTTCCTAAAAGTTTAGGAACCTAGCCAGGGGCATGGCTTCACCTCCACCAAGCCTCTCCCTGTTTCACTAGGGAAATCTGAATGGAAACACGCTTTACTATACTATCTCAGTCAGGATCCAGCCAGGAACCTAGAAACTTTTCATTCTGGGGATAGTAAATGGCTCCAGGCATGGAAGTTCAGACTAGTCAAACCAAGATGGGAAAGGCAATCTAGAGAAAAGCAACAGGAGAGAGCCGGATCCACCCCTGGGCTGGAGGCCTTGGTGGAGCCCAGGGAGGAGGGAGTCATGGAGTCTCCAATGCTAGAGAGACATGCTGCTGCTGAGACGTTATGGAGAGGCAGTTGTCTCGGATCTACAAAGCAATGTCCCTGGCTGAGGTAGACACTAGTTAAGGCAGAGCCTGGGAATCGGCACCTCTGGCTGCATCATGGAGTAGACAGGGAAGCTGGAATGGCTCTGATGACTGACAGGCCCAGCCCCAGAGCCACAAGCCCAAGGCCCACGGTGCTCTCACCTCCCACTTGGCGCGTGCGGCTTCACATTGCTCTTCCAGGTGCAGCTTCGCATCACCTGGGACATTGCACTTCAGTTCTTCAACGGCTTGCAGATACTTGGCCAAACTGTTAGTATTAAAAATTCCTAATGCTTCCTGGAAAAAAAAATAATAATGGAAATTGGATGATATTGCCAGATTGTTTCAGCTAATTTGCTATGTCTTTAATCTTTAGCAGGGAGAATCAGAAGGGGAGCTGATGGTGACCACCTGAAAATTTACAGGAAGCATTTAATGTAGGATTTATATGGCAAATATTTAATACTGTGCACGAGCAATGATATACAGCCAGGAGGCACCACTACCTCATCCTCCACTCAAAGTCTCGCCCAAGGCCGGTCCATAGACAGACGGTCCCACCCCAGGGAAAGAGCTGCAGCAAACAGCTGGAGACAGACTGGCAGGACCTGCATCTCCTCCTCCCCAGGCATGCTCTCTGAGAGCAGAAACCTGGCTCAGGTAACCAGTGAATGAAAAACAAAAAAACAGATGGGCTTAGAAATCCACAGAAGGAAGGATAGA